TGACCACCCCATCAGTACTTCGTTGGGCCACGAGATGACTCCACAAGATGACTTTGTTGGGCCGCCTCGTGACTCCACAAGATGTTGAAAGGTGATGCGAGGAATCTGACACTGCACTGTTGCCCTTCTGTTGTCTTGTACCAGTCTTGCCACTCTCCGTTCGGCTCCTAACATTGACCAGTCGCTGACGGCCACAATTCGCACGTTCAGACCCAGATTTTCGGCTGACTGTCCAGTCTTTAAAAACTTTAACAACAGCTGCCCCTGAACATTTAACAAATTCTGCTGTTTTGCCGATACTCGCTCCATGGCTCTGAGCGCCAACAATCATCCCACGTTCAAAGGCTGTTAAATCGCGTTGTTTACCCATATCTTCAGAAAAAAATCACTTCTACTGTCGTGGTAAACAACCTGCTTCCCTATTTATAATGGTCTGGCCCTCTAGCAACTTCAGCGCGAAATTATAGCTAATTTGCCTACAAACGTCAGGTGGTCATAATAAGCTGGCCACTCATATGTATGTATACATAGGGCCATATATATAGGGCTGCATCTGAAGATTATTTTCATAATTGATTAGTTGGCTAATTATTTTTTTTCCGATGCATCGGATTTAAAAAAAAAACAATTAATACCGTCTGTGTTACCGTCTGCATTTGTGTATTACTAAAATAAAATACATAAATGCAGCATAACAGACAAAGTTCACTTCAGAATAAAACGGTATGCACATTTTTTGATATCGCACTGCACTGGAAAGCATGGCATTGCAGTACCATGCGTTCCAGTGCAGGTGATCACACTGCGGATCGGAGGTGCATTTGAGATCCATTGAAATAAATGGCACCACAACGCACCTCCCGCAGCAAAATTTGTCAGGCCGAAACCGACTTTTCCCACCAATATTATATCATTATTATTTTATTTTTTTATAATTGTATTTATTCTATTAAACAGTTTAATTAGTTTCATGGATTTAAAGTAATGTGAATTGTAAAACAACTGTCGTGGTAAACAACCTGCTTCCCTATTTATAATGGTCTGGCCCTCTAGCAACTTCAGCGCGAAATTATAGCTAATTTGCCTACAAACGTCAGGTGGTCATAATAAGCTGGCCACTCATATGTATGTATACATAGGGCCATATATATAGGGCTGCATCTGAAGATTATTTTCATAATTGATTAGTTGGCTAATTATTTTTTTTCCGATGCATCGGATTTAAAAAAAAAACAATTAATACCGTCTGTGTTACCGTCTGCATTTGTGTATTACTAAAATAAAATACATAAATGCAGCATAACAGACAAAGTTCACTTCAGAATAAAACGGTATGCACATTTTTTGATATCGCACTGCACTGGAAAGCATGGCATTGCAGTACCATGCGTTCCAGTGCAGGTGATCACACTGCGGATCGGAGGTGCATTTGAGATCCATTGAAATAAATGGCACCACAACGCACCTCCCGCAGCAAAATTTGTCAGGCCGAAACCGACTTTTCCCACCAATATTATATCATTATTATTTTATTTTTTTATAATTGTATTTATTCTATTAAACAGTTTAATTAGTTTCATGGATTTAAAGTAATGTGAATTGTAAAACTCTAAGACAATATAATACAAATAACCAAACTTTTTTTTAAAATCACACCATAAAATAATTTTTATTGTATATATATCATTTTAGTTTAACTTTATTTTTTTATATTTTTTATTGAAAGGGACACAGACCGCTGCAGCCGGCACCAGCAGGGAGGAGAACGGAGGAGCAGCGCGGCAGCAGCTAATTGAAAATCAACTAATCGATGATGAGAATCGTTGCCAACAATTCTCATTATCGATCAGTTGTTGCAGCCCTAATATATAATTTAATTAATTGTTTTAATGTAGCCCAGAGTTGGCCTTTAAAGGGAAACTCAAGGCAAATTGCCACCAACTGATGGGACACCAACAACAGTAATTACTGTCCTTCTGGCTGAATGTCCTCGATCGGTCAGGCTAGAAAACCTTTTTCGAACCGTACGGAAAAAAAAAAGAAATCGATGGGTTAGTGGCGTTTTCTTACGAAACAAATTGCAGCAAGAACTCTGCACATGCGCAAACGAAAATCCGTTCTGTTGATCGACAAAATTCGATGAGTTAGTATTGCTAACGAACAATTATCGAATCGACATTGGTCTGTGCTTGATGGGCTATTTGAGCTAGAGTCCAAAGTGGGTTCTTGGCAGCAACGAAAATTTCCGATCAAAAATCTATAGGTGTATGGCCAGCTTTATCAGAAAGCACCTGTTTGTGGAAGGCCCCAGAGTTTGTCAGAGAACAAGCATTATGAAAAAGTAGCTATCAAAGCAAGTCTAGGGTAAAGTTCTGGAGAAGTACCAATCTGTCCAAAAAAAGGGGGGCTTCTTGCTGTGCCCAGAGTTGGGTTTGAAGTACCGGCTATATCTCAAACCTTGTCTCAAAGTATCACCCTAACCTTCCGCTCTGCTCATCCCAAGACCTCTTGCTCTCTAGCTCCCTTGTCAACTCCTCCCATGCTCGCCTCCAGGACCTCTGTAGAGTCTCTCCCATCCTCTGGAACTCTAAACCCCAACCTGTCCGTCCGTCTCCCACCTTGACTGCCTTTAGGCGTACCTTAAAGACTCATCTCTTCAGGGAAGCCTATCCCACCTCAACCTAACTGCTCAACCATCACGTTCTCAAACAATTCATCCCCAATTCACCTCCTCATGTATCACTTGCCCCTCCCTTTTAGATTGTAAGTCCTCAGGGGCAGGGCCCTCCTTACCATCTTGTCTTGAATTGTATTGTGATTGTAATGTCTTCCTTATATTGTAAAGCGCTTCACAAACTGTTGGCGCTATATAAATCCTGTATGATAATAATAATAATAATAATAAGCATGTTGTATAAATCCAATGGTAGAAATCACAAGGAAATCCATTTGAAATCTTGGTTGTAAAACTTCAAGATGTGGAAAAACTCAAAGTAGTAAAAACAAGGTGTTTGAACAATAAATTGGGAGAAAAAGCCTTCAATAACATTATCATTAGAATAACTGGCACCAGGAGAGGGCTGATTTCCTCTGTTGGGCGTCAGGTGTAAAGAAACTCTGCGTTCAAATCTGTACAGTGCAGTATATCTGTATCACGAGCCCGTGCACACAGCTGCATCTTCCCCTGTAATCTTATGCTGCGCCATGCCCAGTAATCTTATGCTGCGCCATGCCCAGTAATCTTATGCTGCGCCATGCCCAGTAATCTTATGCAGCGCCATGCCCAGTAATCTTATGCTGCGCCATGCCCAGTAATCTTATGCAGCGCCATGCCCAGTAATCTTATGCTGCGCCATGCCCAGTAATCTTATGCTGCGCCATGCCCAGTAATCTTATGCTGCATTCAGCTGTGTAAAATCAAAGTGGAGAATTCTGCAACGGTCGGTATATTTGCCTAATATTTGTATGGAAACAAATGTACATTTGTTCATGCTGGGAATTGAAAACTGAGCAAGGGAAGAAGAGTTTCACCCACAGGATTGTTTTTTGGACGTTTACGTGTCTAAAATTGTGTAAACGTTAACACTTTATAGATTATTAGGGCTCCTGAACCCGGCACATATCATCTAGCAGGAGAGTGTTGGCAGAAGTTTCCTGCAAAAACAAACACGTGCTTGCGTTTATATGTCATGCTATTAAATTTACACTCATTCACATGTAAATTGCTGACCCCGTACACGGGTTTTATTTTTATAAATCTGAACAGAAAGCTAGTTAACTAATCTTTTTGCACTGTTTGAATGGGCCCAGAGAAAACAATAGAACTGCATTCATAAAAAGAAAAACAATGTACCAATACCAATGGGTTTTTTACAGCTGTGTGCATGAGCTCTTACATGTGTTTTTTATGCAGGATCCTGTACAGATGTGTGTATTGTATTACCAGCATTTCCAGGAGTCCTAAAACAGTCTCACTTTTTATAAAGAACAAACATTATATGCAAGATATGACATGGCTAGTGTATCTGTTCATGGAGTGCAAAGCTAAAATGTAAATCGCTGCTCCACTGCCTGACCGGAGAATACTGATTCCCTGACATGGGGGACCTGGGGTTCTTATTCTTTATAACTTTTATAGAGCTTTATCCTAACCCTGGAGAGGTCCAGCAGAGCACAGCCTTGCACCATTCCCCCCATAGCACTATCACCAGACATAATGGTGTCTCACCTCCCCCGGCTCCGGTGACCAGTACCACCCTCCCATCAAATCTCAGAGTGTTGGATCCCATCTCAGGCGTTCCGTGTACAGAATACAGATGACAGCCGCACAGCACACACAGGAAGGAGATACTCAGTACACTGCGTACCAAGCCTCGCTCTGAGGCAGGGGCGGGGCTACAAACACGAATTTTACTTGTGATTGAACGGTTTTCTCCGGACCCGGTAAATGATTGGCGGAAGAAGTCACATGTGTGTGATCGTGAAGCGGCACTTTAACCTTTGCTGCTCCTCAGTTGTGCTCGGTGACAGTAGACGGAGCCTTGTCCTGTCTGTGTCTCTGTTCTCCGGGCACAGAGTGGGAGCTGCAGACAGGAAACACGACTGTGTGACATGACACAATGAGAAAGTGTATCTAGAGCCCAAACCATTCCCTTTGTTTTTAGTGAGGGGTTAGAGCCCCAGTCAGGTTCCTCTTTTGGTCCTGGTGACCTCTGTCACCGAGACTGAAGGTAAGACAAATATATTTTGAGTTGTCACCAGAACAGGAGATGGCTTCCAATGTTGCAGTGACAGCTAGCTTAAGCTCACCACACATGCTAGAATCTCCTTTAGATCTACCAACATTGTTGGCAACAACTATGTAGTGCGAGAGCTACACTGGATGCAAAGTAACTGGACATATTGTAGGTCCTAATATTACATAGTTCTTCTCAGTGGCGTAAACAAGGGGGTGCGGCCCGCACCCGGGTGACACCGTTGGAGGGGTAGCAAAAAATGTCGCAAGCACACCAATTCAGCAATTAATTCAGCAAAAGTCCATTTAATGACACATTGCCATTCAGTTACAAGCGCTTTCAGGGCCTCAAGGGTACCCCTTCATCAGTCTCAGAATGACATTTGACATTCCGTGGTCGCTACAAGCACCCACCTGCTTCTGCAGGTTTATTATTGTTCAGGTAAGGAGTGCAGCTGGTTATTTGTTTCCATTGCACTATTGGAGGGGTGACACCAAAATAACTGTTAGTCATTTTGGTGTCACACTGTCTAAAAAGTCGGGCACTCTGTCATGGACCGAGAGCCCGACAGTGTCAGTAGAGAGGAGGGGACCCGGCAGCATACCTCATCCTGCCGGGTGAGTGTCCCTTCCTCTCTCTGCTGGCGTCCACCACCAAGATGGCCGCCGAAAGGCATCAATTAGATGACCGCGCATCTCCGATGACATCATCGCGCATGCGTGATGATGTCACTGCGGGGTGTCACCCAGTCTCTGCTCCAGGTGACACCGGCCTCAGGACGCCCCTGCTTCTTCTGATAAATCTAAAGATTGTACCGTGTATGGTGATCCTGTGGGGGAATGTCCCTCAAATTCTAGAGACTTCCTCGGACTATTCCTACAGGAAGTAAAGTGGAATCTCCAGGATGTCACACAGATGGCAACAACATCTAATGCATTTATATCCATGTCCTGTGCTGTCAAAGATCAAAGGTTTGGGCTTCACATATACTTCAGCAAAGAAACTGAAACTTTGTTTTTTGCTGTCCCCGGAGAAGAGATTTTCTATCACTTCATATGTGAAGTCTCTCCAGTGGGGACAGAGGCGGCAACAAAAACACATTTTCTTGTACACTGGGAGAAGGTCACTTTTTAATAAGGTTTTTATACCGTGTTTCATCCATATTAAGGCCTGGTTCACACCTAGGTGTTTTTGAGCAATTGGAAAAGCGCTTTTAAATGCCCAACACAAGAAATCCCACGTATTTCAATTACACCTGAGCAGGAAAACGCCAAATGCAGAAAAAAGTACAAGAGCTTTTTTTGGCAGTTTCAAGCTTGTTTTTCCCCTATAGACTTCAATGTAAACGCCAGAAAACGTGCGACAGAAGCATGTTGCACATTTTCGTGAGCGTTCATCCATTGACTGCAATGTTTCTTATGCTGCCAGTCAAAACACGTATCTTCCTGTATTCTCATAAATGTGAAAATAACTGCACGCTGAACCCACGCATACAAACGCGCAAAAATGATGCCGCCTAGGTGTGATCCAAGCCTTAGGTTGGCACACGGTTCCATTCCATAGCCCCCGCCCACAGAATTATGTGTTATTTGAATGCAGTATGACTACGCATGTCTCCGCCCATGCAGCCACATCAGTTACTTACCGAACTATTCTCAGGGGCCCATGGTTCTCAATAGATACAAGTACGGTGTCATCAGCACATTTGTATACCATTGATAACTCCTCTAGCTCCATATGGGGGCTGGAGGAACAGTCTGCAGGAGCTGACACTTGCAAACAAAAAATAAATATTCATGTCATTTTATTGGTATCTATCTTCATTTTGTACATTTACCAGTAGCTGCCTCATTTCCCACCCTCGGCTTATACTCGGGTCAATACTTTTTCCCAGTTCTTTGTGGTAAAATTAGGTACCTCGGCTTATATTCGGGTCGGCTTATACTCGAGTATATACGGTAACCTTTTTCAGTGGCCAGAAAAATGAATAAAAAAAGCATGCTTGTCCTGTCCCCGAGTGCTGCGAGCAGAGAGCCTACTGCAAAGCTTAGAGGTACGTCCATGGAAGTCCTAAGGCCCAGTCACGCAGTGACAGCCCCAAGATCAATGTGCTGGAAGAGGAACACGGCTTCTCCATTTATAGTGCAGTTACAGTTTAGGAGGCAGCGCAGGTCCTGGAGATTGCAGCGCACATGTCAGATCGACTGAAAAGGATTTTGACAAATAGCTGTACGGCACAGAGGAAACTTCAAATTCCACATCCCCATAGATCAGGGACAGGTGAATTAAAGACTTTGGGAGTGGGCTGCAGGGTGATTTCAGTGTCACTAAACTCAGGAGTTACATCTTAAAAATACATTCAAGTACCTTAACTAATAACAGAAATGTAACTTATTTGTCCATCACTCAGCTGCAGATCCTCAAATCATCTCTGAATTCATGCTGACACTGTGCTTCCTTCTGGAGGGTGGCTACTTTTGTTCCTGATGGTCCACTTTAAGGGCTCAGCGGGTACCAGTCTCCACACTACATCACAGCTTTGGTCTTGTCGGTTGTCTAGAAACAGCTACTCATCGAAGGGAAGATGCCAGAGAAGGAGGAGGAATCAGTGTACCATGCTGGAGAGAGGCTGGATAAGTAAACCAACACTTCTTCTACACAAGTACTCTAAATTAAGCTGAGAGGACAAGAAATAAACTTTAAAGGAGAACTATGAGGTGAGTGCTTTTCACTCACCTCATAGTTCTAGCCGACCTGTGACAATGAGACTGTCACAGGTCGGCCCAGTAGATCGGGAGGTGAGCGAACATATACCGGTGTTCGATCACCTCTCAATCCTGTCACGGCTCTCTGCCGTGACAGGGGAGGGGCTGGATTCCCCGCTCTGATCTGCCAGTGCTGACTGGCGGAACGGACGGGGGAGGGGGCGGGTACAGCTGGCTCTGCCTCTAGCTAGGCAGAGCCAGCTGTCAGTCACGCAGCTGGGCGGATCCCGGCACAATTGTCGGGATCCGCTTCAGCTGCGGTGTCTCAGTATACCGCGAGCAGCAGCTCGCGGTATACTGCAGCGCCTCAGTATAGCGCAAGCTACAGCTCGCGCTATACTGAGTCTAGGGTGACGGGAGGACGCTAGTTTGTGTCCTCCCGTTACCCTAAGGAGAAGTATCGGGAAAAGCCCTAACCCCATAGTTCTCCTTTAACAGATTTAGCCTACTGAGCACTCAAAAATTCTCAAACAAATTGCCAATAATAACGACATAACTAATAATCACGTGGCTTTGACAGTCCTTTTCCTGACATTTTTTATCCCCATCAAAATGAATGTAGCTGCCCTTGCTATGCAGTCTTCCAGCAAGTACAGCACAGAGCACAGTGCTGTGCTTTATAAATATGCCGCAGTCAGGCCATATTACAGCATCCATTGTAAGTGATTTCACTTACAACAGATGCTGCTTCTTGATGTTTAAAAGATTTATCTTCCTGTAGAATCAACTGGTCCCCTGAGCACTGGACCTGACATCCTGTTTTAGAGTGACTCCTTTCTCAAGCAGAGTGCTATGCAGTCATCCTTGTGTGTGCTAGTAAGCTGTGTGTATCTCCACAAACACACAGACACAGCAAATCAAGCTACTTCCCTCCTCCCTGGCCCCCTCTCCTCCATTCTCCAAGCTAGTAGACGAACAGTTGTTGGCGTCTATCCCTTGTGATCTTGTACTGGACAGAAAGTTCAGGAAAGCTGAGCTGAGAGACTTGGAAGCAGCTGTTAAGAAACATGATGACTGGAAGTGTTTGGGTAAAAATGTAAACAAATGCTTTGCTGGGCAATCTATATTTCCCATTGAAGTCTAACTAAGTGCAATCATGCTCCATAGAAGCTGCTGTACTTTTTCTTTGTATTTAACAACAGCACATCACTCAGATGTAAACAGGCACAATGCAATAACATTGAAGTGTAAGTGTCAAATGTTGAAGCACTAGGCAGCTGAATTTCCCAGCAAACTGACAAGCAGTGAGCTCAGCATTCTATATGAGTCTGTTCTGCATCATTCTGGGGCAGGCATGAAGAGACGATAATGAGAAGAGAAGATTACAACATTGCAGCGTGTCCTATAGACCAGTAACCTTTCCCTTCGTTCTTCAAGTGCAGTGGGACAAAGTGTATGCTGATCTGCTATTACATGTAGTGGAAGCTGTACACAGAGTTAGGTCATTATAGGTGAAATAAATGGCAAGCACACTCATCAATACATAACTAGCTGTAAAGCAAGGTGCACATGGACGGGCTTTACACAGTACAAAAACAGAGATTGTCCCAGCACACTCACCAGCCAGCCTGCCAAAAAACGACACTGTCTAACTACTAAGGTTAAAAACAGACGTTTTAGTTGCCAAACTTTTGCAAAACATGTGGAAGCCGCATTGTCATGTCAAGGACCCGCTGTATAATGTGGTCCTCACACTAATCAAGATTAGAGTGCGGACTGCACTATAGAGTAGATTAGAGTGAGGACCACACTATACAGTAGATTAGGGTGAGGAATTGCACTATACAGTAGATTAGGGTGAGGACCGCACTATACAGTAGATTAGAGTGAGGGCCGCACTATACAGTAGATTAGAGTGAGGACCG